TGATTATTATTGCAGTAACATGCGGTATGTTGTATGCATATAGTTAATTTATATCATTTATAGAAAGGTAAATGAATGAAATATTGATCAGAAAAAAAAAACTGCAAAAAAAATTTCTTCAGTCAAGTCTTGAGTTGTTGTTTGCGCGACTGAAGTGCGAGGCTCAGACTCCAGTTCCCATTTCTGGTTTTAAGGTGGTGGAGCTTCCTTATCCTACGCTCTGAGACTTTACATTCCGAGGACATGGCTGGAGCTGGAAAACAGGGTTGAGACTTGTTGTTTGCGTGAATTGGAAAAGTGATTAATTTACCACAATTGCACATAGAAGAGTGTGTTTTTCAAAGACGATGGAAGGAGAACAATAGAGCAGGAAGAAGGAAAAGCAGATGTGGGGATAGGAGGTGGGCTTGATGGCCATTCTGACCGGGGTTTGGAGAACTTCCCCCTTCTATTACTTATTCTTATCTACATGGAACCAAGGGTTGTGTAACCCTGATAAAACCTGCAAACCTCAGGTTTTGTAGAAATCAACGTTGCAACATGAATAGTAAACACTTGTTCGGCCTATTCTTTTTAAGGAGAAAAATCGAGTGTTTCAGGAGTAGGGGGGACAGTTTGGGACACAATTGTCCACTCAGTACTGGGAAACATGGCTTGTCTGCCCAAAGGGAGACATTGTCCAGGTTGTTTACGAAGTGGGGAAGCCATGATTTCCTTGGCATTTGTTCAACCCTGTCCCAATCTAAACGTATTTATTTTTGAAAACATGATTAACAGAGCAATGCCAAGCAATCGTGCATCCAGATGTGTGGATTAAATGACAAACGTTTGGCCCGTGTATTATATATGTGTACTATTATAAGAAGAAGTCATCTAATCTGGGAAAAATCTGCTTTTTTTTTTTTGCCTATGTGAAGATCAGGGGTCCCCAACCCACGGTCCACGGGCCAGAACGAGTCCATAGGTCATTTGGTACCAGGCCGCAGTGGGACATTGTGAAAAACTATATACATATATACATATATATATATGTATGTGTGTATACATATCTACATATGTACATATATGTATGTACACACACACATATATATACAGAGAGAGAGAGAGAGAGAGAGAGCTCAGATCACTGTGACCTTCACACCTGTTTGCAGCCGTTGCTTTCACTCTTCTGATCGAGTCAGACCGCGTCATTGCTTTTGTCTGGTGTCGATAGATCAGACCCAAGAAGGATACAAAGGTTAAGTGTCAGTTCTCTGTTAGCTCATTCTGATCTCTACAGCATCGCCTTGTGGTTTTCAGACACTCTTGGCGATTAATTAATTTTGTTGAAGAAAAGTTTGAATGCAAAACAAAGGAAACGTTTGACTGAAACGTTCCAGGCTGTTTATAACTTTAACATTTAAGGCAATATTTGTAATTCAAGACCTTTATTTGTCGCATGCAGCTGTACATATAGCATCTTTATTTGTCGCATGCAGCTGTACATATACATGTATAGAACACTGTAAGGAGAATTCTAAAAAAATGAATTCAAAGTATAATTAAGAGCAATATAATGGGAATTATAATACAAATTATATGAATGTAATAGTATAGATTTTGTAGATATACAATAAAAAAGTATGCAAAGAGTATTATTAAAAAAGTATAAAGTAATAATAGCAGCTGTAATAATATAATATAACCCTCAGAAATATGTTTCAAAGCAATATAATATTGTAATGTAGCAGCAATGTTATAGCTGTATATACTGTGTATAGCCATTATACTGCCATTATATGTATATTAATGCAGTCTAAGGATAATATTATAATATAGACATTGTAGTTTAAGTAATAATAACAGCAGTGATCTAACCGTTAGAATTAGCAACAGAGTACAATTATATGGAAGCGCTCTGTTTATCTGTCTGTCAGTGTCTGACTGTTTTGATAACAATATCTGTTTTTCTCCTGACTGGAGAAACAGTCCTTACTGTCTGGGGGAATCTTAAGCAACTTCCTCCTGTAAGTGTTTGCCCAGTCTAGACTCTGACCTTTGACATTAAGCCGTATGTCTTGAAGCAGCTTTTTAAGTGATTGGCATACCAAATATGTTTTCTTTAGGAATGCAAGAGTTAATCTCTGCTGATACAGTTGCTGATTTTTATATGTCTATTTTTTTTTTTTTTTTTTTGCTGACAGAAATGAACTACTATACATACTATACATCTGGTCGTATATTAAAGTCCACAGATTAATTCTTATAACTTCCTGCAGGAAATCCCTTTTGATTGCGATATGGCCGGAGCTGTAGGTTGGAAACAGCCCATCAGGGTAAAAGCATTACGTGAAGGGTTGTTATTATTATGTATAATAAAAATAAAAGCTAATGCCAAGGCCTTTTGAACAACATATGGTACCAGCTTTGTAGTTTTGGAAGTGGTCTATGAAGTCACTTGCGGAATGACCATTCCAATTAAATTTGTCCAACGTAAAAAGAGAATAAAATTGAAAAGAAATGTTCATTTAAAGTAACAAAGGTTTTTCTGTTAGTGGTTTGATTGGTTTTTGGTTCGGCAACTGACATTAAGTATAAAAGAGCTAATGTTTCCAAGCATGGATGGGTCTCACCTCCTCTCTCTTACATGAACTTCCTCAGATACTTGTCTGTCAGTTTATGAAGAGTGTATTACCAGCAATAAAGGCCAGGACTGTTTCTAAATGTGTGATTTTATAGGTGATTTTATTAGAAATTTCTGCGTGACATGGTGACAACTACTGTCAAATGTGCAGTCAAACCAACAGGCCACTGGGGTTCCTGTAGCCTCATTGGTTCAAAATACTGACTAAATATTTTTCCCCCCCTTAACTTCATGTGAAACCACATCGAGAAATGTAGCCTGAGACAAAAAAAAAGGGACTGAGAGCCATCTGTAGCTTATCAGACAGATCTTCTACGGTCAGTTCAAAAGAGCCATGAAACCAGAAGTCTTTATTAGATTTTAAAAACCTAGAACAACGACACACTTTATTGACTTGCAGGCTACTGTTAAAATGAAACCAAAGAGTTCTACCAATACCAAAGTTGATCGCCATATATTTATATTTATGGACATACACTCAGTATACTTCATAAATACATATGTAATATATACGTTGATGTACTTTGTGTAACCGTATTAGCCCACAGAAATCGGCAGTATTCTGTTATTGAGTTGGATTTACTCACCTGCAGATGGTGCTCGGAACTCACTGAGCTGTCCACCTCAATATTTAGTGTATGTTTTAAATCCTCTAACACACCCTTCCTGAAAACTTGTAGCTGATTTGTAGCTATAGCTGCTCTTCGACGAGGCCTGGCAAATCCTCCGACTCTGTCTTTTTCTTTTTGGGATTTAATAGCAGCTTTAGCAGAACATAAATCACAATACTGCCACCTACTGTACTCTCCTACAGTCTTTTTTCTTCCCTTAAAGAAGGTATAAGGCAGAACACACTGTTGCTAGAGATAAACGTTTATGATTCACTTGTTTATTATTGAGAAACACCCGAACTCTAATGTTGGAATGTTGAATTATGACTTTCCTCTTGAGGAATTGTACAGTTTGTGTGATTGGACACCAGCGCTGGATTCACACGTTCAGCTGGAATCCTGCAGCACAGTGCAGTCCCGGAGTAATGCCCAACTCTGGGTTTTAGGACTGAAGGTAGCAGGACATGTAAATGAAATGTGTTCAGGTTGATATACCACATGCTGACATATTTGATAATGAATCGTACAGTCAGCCGTGAGAACAGGAGACAGAACCAGTTTTATCCAGTAACTTACTGTGTATTTCTTAGTGAATATTCCGACATGTATATTTACAGGACATCGAGCCTTCGATGTACACAAATCATTACACAGAACAGATAAACGTAACATTCTCTTGATATTATCGATATTTTTTAAACACAGTGTATGTACAAATATGGAATCATCTGGTTAATCATATTTTACACCTTCCGTCTGGGGTTACTCATGTTTGTTTGAGAAACACTGCAGTGCCACGCATCACAGATGTACACAGGAATTTTTTTTTTTTTTTTTTTTTTTTGGTCTGGAACGTCAAAGAAGCCAAAACACAATCATCCACCCCACCTCCCACCACCTCCACCCCCCCAGCGGTGCAGGATGTTAAAAAAAAACACTTGAAAGTGTGTTGACGTAGCACGTGTGGAATGTCTTCTTCTCGACTTTTTGTAATAGCAGTGGGAAGGTCATTTTGGCCAGTGGGCAGACACTTGGCCAATCACACGACAGCCCCCGGAGTGTGATCCTGTGTTTAATCAGTCCATGTCCTGTTATTTCCCATCTGCTGAACAGAAATGAACCCCAACTGGTTGGAATCTGCTTTGGCACGAAAAACAAACATTTGGCAAATAAAAAAATCTGAAGAGAACAGTCCTGGTGGATAATTATGGCTAAATCACCAAAACATGCACTTTTTGTGCTTTCCAAAAAAAGCGAAAGAAACAGATTTTGTTTTTGGGTAATTCTTTCTAGACCCTTTGGTTGGATGTGTGCGCCACTTCAAACCATTTGGCTTATTTTATTTTTTTTCAATTGCCTTAAGAGGGAAAAAACATCTTTGGCCACAGCTGAGAGTGACATTACCAGCAGAAAATGCACTTGTGTTCTGTTTTCCTTAAAAGCACCAGAAGGAAACTACTTCTAAGAGTCTCTTGATATTTTGCAACAAACAAAATAATCATGACGTAAACCCCCCCTCCGCTTGCCCCCTCAACCTTGAATGTTAGCTAGTGTTTTCTGGAGACATGCCATTCGGTTGATGTCTGGTTGCAGTCAAACATGTTCCTATACACTGTGTGCGTAGTCTAGATTAGGTTGGGGTGTAGGAGACATCGCAGCCACTGGCAGTCCTGCACAGAGTCGAGATAAAGTGATGCTGTTTTTGTACCCTCGTGTTCCTGACAGAACTGCGCTCACTCCCATAACTCTAAGCACTCAGTTTTTTATTTTTTTTACTCCGTCTGAATGGAGGACTTGAGAGAGTTGTCCAGTTCCCTCCAGTTCCCAGTGCTGCCCGAGGGGCTGCGGTTGGCCATTTTAGTCAATAGCGTGCTTCTGCGAATGCTACTGTCCGAGTCCTCCTTTTTGGAGTCTGTCTTGGTTTTATGGCAGCACCTGAAGCAGTACACGAAATCCTGCAGAAGGTGGCCACTGAAGATCATGTATATCCAGGGGTTACAGCAGCTGTTGAGACTGGCCAGGAGCGCAGACAGAGTCACTGCTGTGTTTTCGGAATCTAAAGAACAGGGAGAGGAAAAAGGAAGGGGGTAATTAATCCAACAAACGTCTGGCACAGGAAAATCGCAGAATGTTGGAATTATTCGGTAGCTACCAAAAACGTGACGCGAGGGAATGATACTAAACATAAAAGTCTAAACACCATAAAAACCAAAAACATATGTAACTAATATGTTTGTTCTGATGCCACTAAAATAATAAAAATATTATAGGAGTTTGTCAGTTTTATTACAAGTCTGCTGGGCATTAAATCAATAAAGTAGTGTAGATACAACATTATGAATGCAATAATTAAATAGACATGGATATTTGTGAATATATATATACATATATATATATATATAACATGTATACATATATAACATAAAGAAAAATCTTTTATTGACCTCCAGGGTAATAAAATGTATCACTATAGTATATTTTTTATTTGTTTTTTAAATATATAACATATTCACATGTTTGTACAGTCTATGCCGAGAAAACACGTGCGTAAAGTGGTTTTTGCGCAAATTATGGACGGGACATTTCGGTTGTAGCGTTTAATTTTTTAATTTTTTAAATTTTTTTTTTTGGTTTTACGCACACCTACCAGCCCACTGGAAGCTCGGGTCCCACACTGACAACATCTGAACCGTGAAAAACGGCGCCCAGCATATGATGTACGCCAAAACGATGACAAAAGTCATCTTCACGGTCCTCAGCTTTGCCCTTGATATGGTTGTGACGCTGCTGACCGAATTCTTCCCGATCAGTCCTTTCTTGGCAGCAGCACCAGACGTCGTCTTCCTTTTCTTGTACTTGATGTTTCTCCAAATGGTGTGGCAGATGAAGCCGTAGCACAGCACCAGGATGACCACCGGGACCAAAAAGATGCCCCCGGTGATCCAGGTGATGTACGCCTTGGCGCCCCAGGGTTCGACGAAGTTCGCCCAGCAGTCGTAGATGCGCGTGCCGTTCTGGATCTCACTGAGGGAGAAGATGAAGTACTGTGGAGTACTGAGCACCAGGCTGCAGACCCACGTGGAGAGAATCATGATGTATGAGCGCTTGGTGGACTGCTGGAGAGTTTTCAGGGGATGGCAGATGGCGATGTAACGGTCCAGGGTCATCATCACCATCATGTAGGTGGAGGCAAACATCCCCATCACCTGGAGGTGCTTCACGATCCTGCAGAGGAAGTCCGGGCCGTAGAAGCGAAAGGTGATCTCCCAGCAGAGCTGCGGCAGCACCTGGAAGAAGGCGACCACCAGGTCGGCCAGGCTGAGGTGCTTGATGAAGAGGTGCATGCGCGACATCTTCTTCTTGGTGTTGTGCATGGCCAGAAGGACGCTCACGTTGCCAATCACCGCGACCACGAAGGTGATGCTCAGAACCATGATCTCCATCTGGGCCACGTCCTCGTTTCTCGCGAACGGATCCGATCCATTTGGACTCCTCGAGTCGTTTCCGAGCGCCCCCATGGTCAGGTCATCAGTCGGAGGAGTAACAACCACTGACTGGTTTCCTCCGCTCAGCAGCAGCGCGTACGCAGGAGTGTGCATGGCACTGCCCCTGTGTGCGCCCTCGCAGATTCAGTGCCAGAGGGGCTGTAAAGTGTCCCTCCAATCACTGACGAACACAGAGAAATCGTTGCGCTCTGACCTGTGGCTGCTGTTTGGGGCTTTTAAACCTGAGTCAAATCGCAGGCAGTCCGTCCGTGCGTAGTGGGATTCCGCTGTAAAAAAAAAACCAAAAAAAAAAAACCAAAAAAAAAAAACCAAAAAAAAAAAACCAAAAAAAAAAAACCAAAAAAAAAAAACCAACCCTCCCAACTGTTGCTTAGTGCTGCTTATAGGATGCTTTGAACTAAATTTAGAAAACCAAATAAAACCTCAGGGATATGATGATAAAAGTTGACTTCCGTGTCTCTGTTTTGAAGAACATTATAAATGTATTATTATTATTATGATAGAACGAGAGACAGAGAGAAAAGTCATCAAATCATTTGCCAGTCTATAAACATGTCAGCACTACATGCAGGTTTTGAAGAGCCTTGAGTTTGATTTTGATTCTTATTCCACTCTTGTCTGTTATGAAGAATACGTTTATATTTGATATTTATATTATAAAATGATTTTTGATTAGATCTGGGGCCAGTGGGACGGGGAGCAGATACTCTTTTTTGGTTTCCTGTTGACCTTACGCTGATTGTGTTCCCTGCGTTCCTGGGTGGAAATGATCATGGATGCTAAGCCACAATTGAAAACTGTGGGACTAAATGTTGCTTCAGTTGCTTTATGCGTGACACACTGATCAACACAGTCGCTTGTTTGTCGTGAAACATGCGTCTCCTGTGAATATGATAATTGGAAGTTTCTGTTCATTTAGAATGTTTGGCAGAGGAACGTCCCGACCCGCTGATTTATGGGTTCAGTGTTTCCTATTAAAATGAACGTCAGTTTGACGTAGGCGTTCAAAAGCACAACAGAAAGAAGCTAATGACATTCACACACACACACACATTCTTTAGTGTTAGGAGTTTTTGGTGCCTTTTCCACTTAACACCATAACCTATGGGATTCAAACCGGCCACCATCTTCTATCACACACGCCATCTTTTAGACACTAATCGACAGGCAGTCTGAATTTATTTTTGCTTTTTTCTTCTTCACATATTACTTATAGCACAACACTCATCTTCGCTGTTGCTTTTTACATGGTTTCTAAGCCACAGGTTTGTAGAGTGGAATATAATTCTGTCAAAACATGGTTGTTGTTGTTGTTGTTGTTGTTTTTAAATGTCACCTAAGCATTGTATGAAACCTCTGAGCTGGCTCATCTTGTTCCCCTTACAGTTTTAAATCTCATCTCTGCTGCACGTTATCGTCACTCGACTGATTACAGAAAATCAAACACTCAAATATTTGACTTTGCTACATTGACCTGTTAATGTTGCCATGTGAAACGGCAACGTCCTCTGTTTTTTTTTTTTAAAGATTGATCTGCTACTCTCAAATTTTTTCAGATCCAAAACAGCAGAGTCCACCTTGCCCCCCGCTCCTAAACCCAAGTATTTAATCTGGAATATTTTTTATTTTTGCTTAATTGGTTATTTAATATTTAATATTAGATATCTATTATAATATATAGATTTAGTTCATTTTTGATGCTTCACCACCGGGGCCTTGAGAAGACGGTTTGGAGAGGTTTCAAAGTGAAAAATGAAAGTCCCACAGTCCTGGTTTGTCCAAATGGGACATGTGGGACTGCCCGGTGAATTTAACGCTCTTGTGTGCGAGGTGAAGAAAGCTTTACTGCCGGTGCTTAAGTGCCGAAAGGCTACATAAAATCGAATGCTCCCTCGGCAGCGCATCCTGTCAATTTCCAATCCGGCACACTTGTGCACGTCTCTGCCCCAGCATCTTAAAGACACAATCTCAATTTCCAAAATGACCCTGTAACAAAGTTACAGTTTCCATGGCGAGAGCGCATGACTGCCCTCTGTGGGTTTTGGCAGCTCTCCTGCTGCTCTGATCCATATGCTGATAACGAGGACAGTTATCTTTATTGTCTTCATGTTGTGCGTATACTGTCCGGATTCGATTTTTTCATTTCCGACAGTCGTTGCATTTAGCGGTGGAAAACCGAGGCCCTCTTGTGAACATTTCCTGTTGACCAGGAGCCCTGAGGGTGTAATGAAGTTTGCTAAATGATCTCCTCGTAAGTCTCTGTTAATCTTCTCATCATGACCATAACAGCGGAAATCTGTGATGCGGTGGGTCGTGGCAGAGCATCCTTAGTGTCCCTGTATAGGAACAGTGTGTTTGACATGTTTTGCTCTCCCGGTCGGCTGTATTAAAGCCCTGTTCTGTTCTGAAGGCGTTGAACAACAGTAGAACAGGGTTTGGTTTTTTTTTTTTTTATGTTATTTTTTTCTCTCTCTTCAAACTGGACCGAAGCACATTTATCCACATTTATCCTCTTCTGTAGAGACACACCGTGCCGTTATTACAGCTCCAGGCTTGGTGTGTCTCCAGATTGGCGTCAGAACATCAAGACTCTGTTCATCCTCAACCGAGGCTCGTGTACTTGTTTCTGGAATGATGGGAATGTATCCGGGGTCTTAGCAGTCAGTAGGGCCAATTTATATCATTTCTGTGTTATTTCTTCTAAATAAAGAGAACGGATGTTCGGACCTACTGATTAGACTGACTGAGGCCGATGCCTGATTAAAAATGTACATTCATTACTTTTAAATCCTGTATTCATTGAACGTGATATGTTTACTTCATCAAAGTATTATCAATTATACATCGAAATGAACGTAAAACTCTCATTTTGAATTCGCTCGGTGGCCGTAGGGAGGCATGGCGATATTGTGGAAAACTCAGTTGCCTGAAAGCAGCAAGGTCACGTGTGTGCATCCCAGCTCTGACCGAGGGCCTCCGTGTATGTAGTGTGTTTGTTCCTTCCTGTGTTTGCATGGCTTTTCTATAAGGACGATGCTTTCATTCACAGACTTTACAGACCGGAGTCAAGCTGTGTTTATGAGACTTTTATTTGTTTTTGTCTCCATTTGTGGTCCATCGGGTTACCTTCGTTAGGATTATTCTGGGTTTCGTCTGGGTTTCTTCAAGGATTATTCTGACAATACTTGTCCAGAAACTGCTTTGGATAAACTGACCGGGATGACCGAGAACCTAGACAGACATGTTGATACTCACTTTGGGAAAGCGTTCCTTTTAAAGACTGTGGGAACTGTTGTCTCGGCTCTCGTTTTTACCTTTAAATATGGTCAAAAGGGCTGTAAAAACTCAAAAGATTGATGGATGTATTGAAGTACATACAGTCCCTCTGTTTCCTTCAGCAGTGGTGGAGACCAGTACGACACCAGTCCGTCATATTTGTGGTGTTTAAAAAAAAAAAGTGTCTCTTCTCACACACTTTTTACGTCTGGATTAAATCAGCCGCGGGCCTTGTGTCTTTTTTCTCAACCACACAACTGAACGCCTTGACAGATTTTTGCAGCTGTGGGGAAAACTAGACTAATACTTACTCTGCTGCTCGACCCTTTGCACTCAGTTCTCTTTAACTTTAACCAAACACGTCCCTTTTTGCGGCTGCTCTTATAAATAGTTTTTTGAAATTGTCCAAGGACTTAAGCTGAGTTTCTCTAGGAAAAAAACTATTTTTATATACCTAAATAACAATGTCTCTACTGTAAATGAACTGGGTAATGTACTGGTACTTGAGTATGTGAGGCAAAAGTACAAAGTAGTAGTCAGCCTCGATATTCATATTCCTAACATCAAGTCTATCCTATAGGTTCCTATCAGGGCCAAATCTTCTTCCTGTTCATGAACTTGACAGTAATCATTCACCTAATACTACAGTGATAAAAAAAAAAACATGTCTGAAGTAAATAGAAAATATATCGGCGTAAAGGTACGTACACCTCCTGATGCGACAACTTATCTCTCGTTCCCTAAGGCATCCATAAAACTGTTTATCAACGGGCTCTCGAGAAGATCATGTCACACATTTAATTATGTGTAGAATTATATTTTACAGCGACAATAAGCAGGCCTCCTGCAGGGACCAGTACGATCATTGTGTAACACATGCTCTCCTCTGGTGCAGGGACGTTAATAAATCACATCAGTAAACTGTGTTCAGGAATATATTTGTGATTATTCCATACCGTGTACACATTAGTTATGCAACCGACACATATATACGACATAATGAGTTTCTGTGCGTCCACTTTCTCTCGCCCGCGTTCTCAAATTAACACACAGCGGCGGCTCATAGCCGGAATGGACCGTGAATGATTAAAGTGCGTTTCCAGCATTATTACAGCCATAAAAGTAATGGCTAATCCACACGGCCATATGTAAAATGTTAGAGTGAACAACTGCACACAGTTTGGCTCAGTTTTCTAACCACTGACATAAGGGAAGGGTTGTAAAAAAAAAAAGAATTGAACGGTGAATTAGGAATATTTTCCGTGAAAAAAAAAAAATATATATATATATATAAGTATTTTTATAATAAAGACCAGACATTTGAATGAGCATCTAATAAGAAAAAGGAGTGAGAAATAAGTTTGAAACAAAAACTCTTTCTCCAGGTTTGTCTGTGAAAACATCCTGCCCGCCGCTCGCCTGCAGCGTGCTGCCCGACAATAAAGTCTAAGTGCTGGTTATAAAATGATGTTTGCACTGATGATTTACAACTGTCCCTCCGTGACCCGTGGGCTTATTAAAGTTGCAGGACTCGTTGAGATAATTCCCTTTTTTTTTTTTGTCTTTTCTTTTTCCCAACTCTTTGTCACGAGAGCCAAACAACGGTCTCTCATGCCTAACATCTGAGGATGACCTCACTGATGCTAACTTCTCAAAGCCTCACAAATCTCTAACGTTGGTACATTTGTCATTTCTAGAAATAGCCTCGTCGTTCTCACAAGTAGAGCTCCTCGGACAGGAACAAACACTATGTTCCTCCGAAATCCCGTACTGTACGTGCTGAAACCCAAAGACTTGGCGTCAGATGCTCCCCCCCGTGACCCTCCCTGCCCACCATGACCCCCGCTTCCACCCTATACCATCACAAATGCTGCCTCTATTTTCTTTTTTGTCGTTTTATGTTAATTTAGGAATTAAGTCAACAGCCAAACTTTGGACCTTTTGTTGCCGTTTGTGACATTAATATG